AGTTCCTGGAGAAACCCAATGAGATAGCACGTACCATTGAGATGTTTGCACAAGCAACTCCTGCTATGCAAACCATCGCTGCTGCGCTTATTGATGGGGATCATCACACCGTTGATGAATTGACGCAAACCGCTCTGGAAGAAGGCATAGAAGCATTGGAGATTATGGATGACGGACTCATCGCTGCGATGGGAATCGTTGGCATCAAGTTCCGGGAGAACTTCATCTTTGTGCCAGAAGTCTTGGCGTGTGCCCGGGCAATGAAAGCCGGAATGGCGCATGTTGAACCGATTCTTTCAGATTCAGGTATCGAGCCGGTTGGCACAGTGATTATGGGGACCGTCAAGGGGGACCTGCATGATATTGGCAAGAACTTGTGCATCATGATGTTGCGCGGAGCAGGTTTTGTGGTACACGATTTGGGTGTTGACACCTCTGATGATGAATTCATTGAGGCTTTTGAGGAATATGAAGCACCGATCTTGGGAATGTCGGCACTCCTAACGACGACAATGCCGAACATGGGGAAGACAATTGATGCTTTTATTGACGAAGACTTGCGGGAAGAAGTCAAGATTATGGTAGGGGGTGCTCCGGTTACACAGACATTTGCTGATGACATGGGTGCTGACGGATACGGTAAAGATGCGCTGGAATGTGTCGCTTTAGCTAAACAGTTTCTTGAGGAACCGGACGAAGAGTGGTAGCACATTGTGAGAGGGGTTTGTAGCCGATGTCGGAGGGGTTTCTAACTCCGATACCTTACCTTACTCCTAACCTCGCCAGCGGATTAGCGTCCACCCGCAACGTGGTGAAGTCGCGAGCACAGCTCGCTCCTACAATGCAAAGGAACGTCAATGCTTAAAGTTTCAAAAAATCAAGCCCGTAATGAAATGGAGGGCGACTCATGAGAATAGCACGCCAAAGCTCAAACTCACGTCATTTGACCGCAAGGTAAATTAAAAGAATGAAAAAAATAGACAAAGCCGACTACGAGAAACGACTCAGTAAAATTACACAGATTTTTGAAGAACTGGTTGTCCATGCGGATGAACAAGCGACTTATCGGTGTCCCTACAAAAATCGCTTTGACCACTGTACAGCGAAGTTCGGCTGCCGAAATCAGCGAAAGATTGATGAAGGGACCGGGCTTTTGTGCGTCGGAGACGATAAGTTGGATTATCGCAGCGCATGGGAGCAGACGCTCCTGACCAAACAGCAGATACATACGGCACCGGCACAATTACATCTGACGGAAAAGTTTACCAACTCACCCCTGGAAAAACTATTTTTGACTACGCAGACGATTTAACCGTCGAAGTCCCTACCTCCTGTTTCCGAACCGGGCAGTGCCACGAGTGTATCGTTGAGATTAATCGTGGTATGGACAGTCTCCGACCTCCAAATGAAGCAGAAGCCTTCCTCCGAGATAACTACCGTCTCGCCTGCCAAGCAGTTGTTCTTGATATTGACGAGGACATCGAGTTCGCACCCACTTCGACGCTCACCAAGGATCTTGACGCATACCGTCACAACGGATGACGGAACGGCGGAACTAAACCCGCGGGTTACGCATCGCGATGGGGTTGTCTATTACCATGACGAACCCATTGACCGTTACCGGGGACACCTCTATGGACTCGCCTTAGACATCGGAACAACGACAGTGGTGGCGAATCTGGTTGATTTAGAGAATGGGAAAACGGTTTCTGTCAGTTCCTTTGAAAACCCACAGCGTTTTGGTGGGAGCGACATCATGAACCGCATCTCCTACGACGGTGAATTTCAGGGTGAACTGCGCCGCTCGCTTATTGCCGCATTAAACAGCGAAATCATGGAGGTGTGTGAACGCCACCACTTCGTCCGTCAGGAGATTTATGAAGTCGTCGTTGCTGGTAACACAACGATGCGCGATATCTTCTTCAAGCATGATGTTCAGAGCATTGGACAAAAGCCGTATAAATCTCTGATTGAGCATGAGTATCGGGAGGGGACCCGTTCAACCACTTCTCTTATTGAAAAAGTGCGTCGCTTGGGTATCCGTGCGAATCCGAAGGCGATGGTCTACAGCTTGCCGTTGATTGCCAGCCATGTCGGTGCTGATGTTGCGGCGGATTTAGTCTCGATTGGCATCCCCGCGCAGGATGAGGTCATCATGTTGGTTGATGTCGGAACGAACACAGAGGTGGTCGTCGGAAATGCGAAACGGATGGTCGCTGCATCATGTCCGGCTGGTCCCGCATTTGAGGGTGGCGGCATTGAATACGGAATGCCTGCTTACCCCGGTGCTATTGAGTCTGTGAAGTGGAACGATGGTCAGCTCAATTATGAGACGATTGGTGGTGAGACACCAGAGGGGGAGACACCACAGGGGTTATGCGGTTCTGGGTTAATTTCACTCCTCGCTGAACTGCGTCGGAACAATCAGATGAGTCCGAAAGGCGTTTTTGCAGACAGAAAGCAACGCGTTATGTCCCTTTTGCCGGAACACGGTATCACCTTCTCACGCGAGGACGCAAGCAATTTGGCACAAGCAAAGGCGGCAAATTACTGTGGACAATATATTGTTCTGCGGCACTTCGGCTGCGTTCCAAAAGACATTACGAAACTCTTTTTGGCAGGTGGCTTTGCCAATTATGTTAACCTACAGGATGCGATTGAAATCGGATTTCTCGCACCCGTTCCAGAAGCGAATGTCGTCAAGATTGGCAACGCCGCAGTGGCTGGTGCGACAGCTGTCCTGCTTTCTGACCAAAAACGCGCTGATATTGAAGCGTTTGTCAGCAATATTGAACATATTGAATTAGAGACGACCCCGGATTTCTTTGACATATTCGTGGAAGGCTGTCAATTTAACCCGATGCCCGTAACGTTATAAGGTATTTTTAATTGTTCGCAAGGCGTTAAATACAGTCTTGTGTTCATTGAAGGTCTTTGCTTATATCCGCCTGCGCCGATGTTGCAGGCTACCGACTACGGTTATAGCAAAAAAAATAGAACTAAACAGTTAGCCGTAATGAAATGGAGGGCGGATTTAAGGAACGTACGTCAAAATTCTAACGCTCGTCGTTCCTCCGCAAGGTAAAATTAAAATCTTTCAAGAACGCTTGAAGTCTGATGAACCGATTTTGTATGATGGTGGGTTCGGTTCTCAGTTATTCGCGCGTGGTATAGAACTCACTAACAGTGCGCTTGCCAATGACCTGCATCCCACGGCTATTGTTGACATTCATTCGGATTATATTGGGGCAGGTGCTGAGGCGATTGGGACAAACACGTTCGTGGCATCTCCGCTTCACTTGGAGATGGCAGGTCAAGACCTATCCGATGCTAAACGCCTCACACGACTCGCTGTTCAACACGCAAAAACAGCTATCGCACAGAGTGGAAGAGATGTCTACATTGCTGGCTCTGTGGGACCCTCTCCCGGCGCAATTGAAGCCGATAGCGGAGATACCACTTTCGGCATTCCAAATGCGGACGCAAGAGAGGCGCATAAATTAGTTATCCACACCCTCGCAGAAGAAGGCGTGGATTTTCTCTGTCTTGAGACGATGTTTTCTGCAAAAGAGGCAGCACTCGCTGTAGATGTTGCGCGTGAGACACGTCTGCCTATTGCCGTGAACTTGACTTATAAGTGGACCAAGGAGCGGCGAACTGGCAATATCATCTATCGGACGGATTGGGGGAACTCCCCCGCAGATCTACTTGAGATCCTAACGAACAACGAATTTTCGGGAGGGAACTCACTATTGGAGTCCGTTAGCATCATCGGCGTGAACTGTGGTGCTGAATCCAGACGTGATGAACATACTGGGATGCCTTATGCAATTGCTGGGATTCAGCAACTGCGCACGGCACTTGCTGAAACAGGGATTGATGGCAAATGGATGATGGCGTACCCTAACGCTGGCATGCCGAAGCTTGATGAGAACCATAATACCGTCTATACGCAGACCCCAACAGAGATGGCGAGTCATATCCCGGAACTCATTGAAACCGGTGCCTACTTAATAGGTGGCTGTTGTGGGACAACACCGACCCATATTAAAGCCTTCCGTGAGGCAATCGCGTCGTATCGTTCAGCACCGGTGCCTTAATGCGGGTATAATACCATAACGCAATCGTTAAAAAAATGGAAACAGTAACACTTACCTATAAAAGACCCCCCAATCGAGTTAATCACTTTCAACAGGAACTACTTTATCTTGACGATGAGGTCATTGTTACATCTCAACGCGTTAAACCCTCCTCACCCATAGTGCAGAACGGTGAGACGGTTTTGGCGGATAACTTCGCCGCGGTCTGGTTTGTGTTTACAGGTTTGTGGTATGATGTCGGCAAGGTTTATAATCTGGATGACGAGTGGACGGGTTATTACTGCGATGTCATGAAACCGGTTAGGCGGAGCGTGGATGTAAACGGGAAACTTAATCGTTTTGAAATAACGGATCTTTTCTTGGATCTTTGGATAAATCCAGATGGCACATACCAAATTCAGGATGAAGATGAGTTTGAAGATGCGGTTCAGAATGGCGCGATTGACACTGAAGTGGAAAGAAAAGCACTGGAGGTTCTAACGTCATTAATCGCTGAAGTTGAGTCTGGAGATGTGGAACGTCGCTTGCAGGAGGTAATGAGTAGAGCGGGGTTCCCAGATTTACAGGATTATATAGAAAAGTTACCTTAGGAATCGAAGGGGGATGAAAAGATGGCAACATTGGCAATTAACGGAGGCGAACCTGTCCGAACCGCTGGATTCCCTACATGGCCCACGTTTGATCCGGCGGATCTTGAGGCATTTGAAACTATCTACGAAAGTGGACAATGGGGTGTCGGTGGGACAAGGGTTCCTGAGTTTGCACAGCAGTTCGCTAAATTCCAAGGTGCGAACTATGGTATTTGCGTCAATAGCGGTACTTCGGCACTCTATATCGCCCTAAAAGCGGCAGGGGTTTGCCCGGGCGATGAAGTCATTACCACACCGTATACCTTTCAGGCAACGGTTGTCGCCATTCTAATGGCGCATGCCGTGCCCGTCTTTGTGGACACTGCCACAGATAGTTTTCTTCTGGATCCGTCCAAGGTCGAAGCCGCGATAACGGAAAAGACGAAGGCGATTTTACCGGTTCATATCGCCGGGTATCCAGCGGATATGGACGCGCTTATCGACATCGCGAATCGGCATAACCTGAAGATCGTCGAAGACTGTGCGCAGGCACACGGCGCGGAATGGCGCGGACGAGGGGTCGGCAGTTGGGGGCATTTCGGGTGCTTCAGTTTCCAATCATCCAAGAATCTTTGTGCTGGTGAAGGTGGCATTGTCCTCATAAACGACCGGGAACTCTACGAACGTGCTTACGCGCTCCATAACTGCGGTCGCACCCTACCGGATGCTGAGTTCGGAGAGGCAGAGCCTTTCGGAGGCAATTTTCGTATGACGGAATGGCAAGCTGGGTTGCTCCTTTCCCGTTTGACTCGGCTTGAAGCTGAAACCAACTACCGGCATAAGAACATGCGGTGGTTAGATGGTTGGTTTGGTGAGATTCCGGGCATTAAAGTCACGCCACTTGACCCGCGTGCCACGCGTGGCGGATGTCACGGCTATAAGGCGATCTTTGATTCCGAGGAGTTTGAAGGCATATCACGTGAGACGTTTCTCCGTGCAATGCGCGCGGAAGGGATACCGATGGGATATTGGTATACCACCCCTATGTATCGGGCAACCTTTCTCGCCTCTAATCTTTTCGGTCAGGATCTCAATTATGATGGTGTGCAGTGCCCTGAAACTGAAAAGATATGTCAAACAGGTCTTTCTTTAAGTCAAAATGTATTGATGGCGAGTGAAGAGGACATAGAGGATATTATTAAGGCGGCGATTAAAATCCGTCGGAACGTCGCTGAGTTAAAATCGGAAACCTCGTAAGGTGTCGCAAGTTTTATTAAATTTTCCACTATCCTTTTGGTCTGAGCTGGCTCTATATAGGCAACCCGATAGACAGACTTTTTAACTATGGAAATCTGTTAACCATCAACTCGTGCTTTAACATTTATAACGGAGTTGAGTTGATGGTTAAACTGCGCCCAGGTTTTAATAGTTTAAAAAATTTTACTATCCTTTTCAGTCTTAAGGGACTCTATATAGGCAAATCCATAAGCGCAAGCCTATAGAGGCTTGCGGGACAATAGGAGAAAAATCATGTCTAACGAACGTGAAGCCCAGAAGGAAATCCGTCAGATTCTGAGGCTATTGGAAATGACAGCACGCATCATAGAAACTTCAGCGATTACAGACCAATTTTCAGGGGGTGAGGCGCGATCCGCTCGGCAATTTAACAACGCACTTGAGCTCCTGAGCGATCTCGGTGCAGTGCCCGAGGGTCTGTTTGAGCCTTTAGAGGATGATAATGCATCTTTTGGCGATATTTGCTTTGCCTGTCACCAAGTCGCTGCCTACGTTAAAGAAAGCTGCGCTGATGATTTTGTTGACTTCACGCAAATCAAGAAAACGATTGGCGATGAGTTGAAAGATGTCAAGGAAATTGTGCGGCAATCAATGCCCTCCTTCTTCAAAGATGTATGGGGCGGACAAACACAGGAAGCTAATACTGATGTTGCCGAGACCGTTGAGGTCACCTCAGACGAGGACGAGGACGAGGACACAACATCTGTCGAACAGCGGATTGCCAAGCTTGAAGGGCAAATGGAGACTATTGTGGAGATACTCCAAGAAATCCGGACACAACAGATTGAACAGAATAAAGAACTTTAGGATAGCAGTCAGCCATCAGCGGTCAGTAAGAGGGTGTAATTTCACCAGAAAACCTCTTAACTGACGGTTTCCGATTGCTGATGGCTGATAGCCAATTTGATGAATCAGCTTGCAAAAGGCAGCAGATTAAACGCTTCGGGTTTACCAGTGCTTGAACGAATACATCCGTTGCCCGAGAAACAGTCCCAAAATTGCCCAAAGACTCCCCATCACGAATTCGCCGAGCATTGTTCCGAAAAAGAGGGGCAGTGTTCGGCGATACGCGCCGATCCCACCGTGGCGAATCAGTATGGATTTTAGCACCCAAGCGATAAATACAGGAAACCAAAGCCTACCGAAGTTCCAATTGCCTGCGAGTGGATAGGCGAGTGGATGGAGTTGCCACCAGATAAACCGCAAGCGCATAAAGAGCGTTGTAAGCGTGAGAGAGATACCGAAACCGAAAAATCCGACATGTCTCCAATCTGTATCGTTTGGAAGGGTTAGCCACCGTTGTAGGTCGCTGAACGCTTCCTGACCGCGCCATGTTCCTAAACTCCCGTGCAGATAACCGGCGTGTAGGAACGCGATGAATCCGATAATCAGTCCGATGACTGTTGATCCCCACATTACCCAAAGAAGTTGACGCGCATTGATTGCACCCTTGTCAGCGAGTTTAAACCCTTCTAACTGGTTCGGCATCGGTTGCGAGCGGTAGTTGCGAGTAAATCCGTAGAGGAAGGCGAACCCTGTTAGCGTCGGGGGACCAATCTTTCTGGATCCAAAGAGTGAAGTTAGGAAAAGTCCAGGACCGGCTCGGTAGAAATCCTGCGTCGGTGTCCCGAGTTCCGCTCGCATCCGTGTGAATGCTAAGACGAGTATGAAGTGAATGCTGAAAAATCCCAACACACCCCACCACGACATTCCCGCCTTGATGCAGAACCCAAATATAACGCCGATACTGAGTAATAACCCAAGCAGGGCACTACGATACCCTATCGGTTCGCTTCTCGTGTCAAGGTTGCTTTTCAGTCCTAAAATATTCCGAACCACCTGCCATAAATGTTTGTGTGTTATCCAGAGGGCAAAGAAACAGAGTCCGAAATATGCCCCAAGTGATTGCATATCGATATGTGGGTAACCGGGTGTCTGGTTCAATCCTGTCATTGCACCGAAGACGAGCTGTGCCTTCCAAAAGAGATAGAACAACCAGCACGAGAGCGACAGATCCAGCGGCATTAAGAAACCGATACCGATAGCGTAAGGATTCAGGTGGATGGGGGTTGAACCGATAGCACTGAGTGGTTTTTCCGTGAATAACAGCCCAATATCGTGACGGATGGGGATACTCGGTACATAAGGGTAAAGAAAACTGATACCGTTGAGTAAGTCGAGTCCACATCCGATGGCGAACCCTATCCAGAGGAGCCGGTTTCTGTAGAAACTCACACCTTTCGTCATTTCAAACGGGAGTAGGATGATAGGGTAACTCAGTTTTTCGTGTTCAATCCACTGTTTGCGTAGGATGACGCTGAGCATCATCATAGAGAACGCGAGCGCAGAGAAGAAAAGTAGCCATGCCGACACCGGTGTGAGCCATGCGCGGATGTGTTCCATTTCAAACAGATTTGAGGTGCCTTCATAGTAGCCGGTTAAAGCGCGCCGATCCGTTACGGCGATCCAGTCCGGAATGTATCGAAAAAATAGGGGTTGCCATTCGTTCTCTGGTGTAGCGAACCACGTTGCGTGCCCCAGGACGCACATTGTTGCTTGTAGCAGGTCGTGTCCACAGACGACGCATGCAAGCGTTACCATGAGGTACACCGTCAGCATTTCCGCTTGTGTGAGCTGCCATCTCGGAAGATAGCGCGTTAGAAATAGATTAAGAAGGGCAATGAGAAAGAGTGTAAAGACGGCGTTGAAGAAAATCGCCATCGTGGTTGGGTATTGCGTAGTCCATACTGTTTCCGTTTGAACAACGAGGTAGATATTGAGTGGAAGCGATAACAATCCTAATAGGATGGCTCGCCATGTGATATTTTCGGTTTTTTTAATTATACCTTGCGGTTCGGTAAGGTGAGTTGATTGTTTCACGTTCTTTTCCGTAGAGTCGCCTGCGCCGTTGTTGCAGGCTACGTTTTTGGTGGAGTCGGGAATCGCCTGAATCATATTCAGAAGTCCCTCCTACATCGGTGCTGTGTACTATAGACATGACACTATTACCAAGAACCCGCTCGTAATGAAATGGAGAGCGGTCCAGAGGCACAAAAATTAAAAAGTTCGCTCCTGACCGTAGAAAATCCGGGGCCTAAACGATGGTTCAAAGGGTGGATCGAGCGGGAAGGCGAATTCTACCCGAAGAATACCTGTCCCACTAAACTGAGAGAAACTGCTGCGCAACCCAAACCCAACGCTTCGCTTGGGGCTCGCTAAATTGAAGGTGTGTTTGCCGTTCCAGATGTATCCAATATCAGCAAACACGACACCACTCAATATGACTCCAAGATGAACTCGCCTGTCGCTAAACGGGCGCGTCACGGCTGTTGCAACCGCTGCGAGTGCTTCGTCTACTTTGCGGAAAACCGTTCCACCGAATATGGTTCGACTTTCGAGACTCAGTAACATCATCTTTTCACCACTAAACTGCCTATAGGCGTAGCCGCGTAGCCCGTCAAACGCTCCCAAGAGAACTTGGCTATGTCCACTCCATCCAAACTGCATCTCTGTTTTAAACTGCGCGACAAACGTCTGATGGAAATCGAAGAGACCGTTCTCTCTAAAACCGGTTTCAAGTGTATAGATATCACCTGTGTTGAATACATCTGTGTAAAACCAAGCGGTTTGTGCTTGGAGGCTGGAGCGTTCAATTCGAGTCGTGAAGTTTGTACTAAATGCGAATGTTGTGAGGTTAAAGAACTTATTGCTGTTCATCCATCCGGATCCCAAAGCCAGTTCCGCGTAAGATGCTGAACGGTCCGATGCGTATAAGGGTGAAGCATATCCAAAAGAGAGTGCGTATTGAGAACCGATGAGGAAATTTTCCTCTTGCCCCATCCGTCGGAGGAATCGGGTATTGTGATATGCAATGCGTTGCCTACCTAAAGTGAAGCCGATCCGTTTTACGTCTCGATTCTCTAACATTGCCTCGGATTCGCTTGATTTTTCAAGTAGCACATATCTCGAACGCCGTGAGGATGCCCATAACCCTATATAATTTTGCTGATATCTGTCACCGAAATATCGTCGGACATTTGCATGGGTTCCCTGTAGATTTTGTTCAAATATATCGGTTTTCTTTGCGTTTTCATACCAGAATATCGGATTAACCGATTCGGAAAAGCGCACGCTTGCACTCCACCGACTTTTCAGTGTATATTGGGGACGTTCTAACAGCACAACCAAGGAATCGCCTTCACGCTTCTGGATATATTCGCCATCAAAGTTCCAGTGCGAATGGAAGAGTCGCGGGTTATTGTACCGGCCCCTCACAAGGCTCCGCGTCTTTTCACCGACTTCGCTAATCCTTTCGTAGCGCCATAGGGTGCCTTGGCCCGATCCGAACATGTTTGGATCTCGAAACTGTAGTAGCCAATACCGCTTTTGGTTATTTAGGTTCAGATCTCCCCCAAGCGGGAAGGACAGCAGTTCCCTAATAGTCGCGTGAATCGTAACGGATTTCGACAGTTCATCCCATTGTGCGTCAACCTTTGCGGCACCAATATAAGTCTTGCGGCGAAGAATCTGTTCGCTTTCCTCTCTATCTGCTTCTGTGTAAACCTCCCCTTGCATAAACAGGAGTTCTCGGCGGATAACGTCTTCTTTCGTCTGTATATTGCCAGTTACGATGATGTTGCCGACACGACCTTCGTCAATCTCAATACCGAGATAAACGCCATCCGCGAATTTCTTCACAGAGAGTTGCTCTTCATCCACACGCGCGAAACGGTACCCGTTCTCCCGATAAAAGCGTGTGATCGCTTCAAGATCGGATTTCAGAACGGTTTCATCGTAAACACTCCACACATCTGTCCGCATCAGCGCACGGATTTGCTGTTCAGGGAATGATTCGTTTCCATCAATTACGAGGCTGCGTACAATGCTTGCTTCATCTTCTAAAGGTACTATTCTATTCTGCGCAGTGTGTGCCGTTTCCGATGAAATTTCAACTTGTATGCTGATACCAAGTAGGATGATTAAGCTCAAAGTCCGAAACGGGCGCGGGACATACCAAAGATCTGCCATTATACTTCACCTGCGGCCAGCGTACTTTCGCGGTTTGAGAGAAAACTTTCAAGAAGCATAAGACAGACAACTAAAACGAGCAGTTCACCCCAAATTTCCCTGCCGTGTCGCTTAACGTTGTAAGCGTCAGCTGCTATTGTTGTTCCTTCGATTTCCTGATCTGCTGTTGCTTGTGCGCCGACTCTCGCCGCTGCCTGTGCCAGCGGAATCTCTGTCAAGTCAGCTTCAGTAGTATCAACGTTAACCGCAAAAAAGTCTCGTTGGATACTGTCTTGCGTCCGCACCTCGACCTGATAGATACCGGGACGTTCTGTGCCTTGAAATCGCAGGGTGCCGTCTTCGGCAATCGGAAGAATGGCTATCGGGTCGAAACCCCAACTCGTGCTTTGCTGTCTTGTATCGGAGTCGAGTTGGGGGTTCGGGCTATCTTGCTGACTGCTGACGGTTTCCATTAAACGAATAGACGCTTTCCCACCCGCACTCCGAGGATAATGTGCTGTATAGGTGTCACCGATATGTCCGCCCCATGTTAAAAGATTATTGCTGGCTATTGTCGTGTAAAGCACACTCTGTTGGAGCATCGGAAGGAAATACGGATTAACGAGTAGGTCGCTTGTATAAGTCGTCGTGCGAGTAGATGTTGTAGGAGGGGTTTGTAACCCCGATTCCATAGACGGGGTCGTCTGTTGAACAAGTAGCCCACAGTTATAGAGCAGCACGGTGCTTGTTCCTTGACTTCGTTCAACGAGAAAAGGTGTATCGTCACCGAAGCGTGCGATAACGTTAGATTCCGACGAGGGCTGTAATGCTATACCGTTGTAAAACTGCGGAGCGTATTGCATAGAGAAGCCATCGCTTGGAAATATGTCAAAGACAGGATGTGTTTCCCTCATACACCTGCACTCGCTGTGGTGGTGTCCATGTCAGCAGACTACCAAGTTGGGCAGGAAACCACCATACATTATCAGGTTCGTTGTAGCTTGTTGCGTTGACTGCGGTCGCTCACGAAGACAATGATACTTTTGCCGTGGCGGGTGAATTCTCGGAGTTGCGCGCTCATCTGGCGCGACATCGTTAGTACGTCCGCAAGTACGATAACATCATAGTCTTCCAACGGAAAGGTTACAAATTCATCAGGTGTGCATTGCGTCGGTAGAATAGCGCCAGCCTCTATAGGCTGGCGGGACAATGTATTGGAATAGTTATCAGTTATCAGTTTTCGGTTATCAGTTAAAGAGGGATCTGATTTAAGCAAACCCTCTTTTAACTGACGACTATTTTGCTGACGATTATCTGTATGTGGGTTTAACGCCAATGTTAGATATTCCGTTTGTTCTCCGACACAGAGCACACGCACTTCACCGAGGGCATCCAAGGCGAAATAATGTTGGTTGTCAATATTAAGGCGATCGTCTGTCAGTGTGAGGTAACCGATATGCGTGCCGGGTGTAGAAAAGTTGTATGTTAAGGTGGTGTTCAGCGATTCGTTCGCTGCCATAGAAAAACTCATGGTTTTTTGTTTCTCGCCCCCAATAAATAGTGTCAGTATATTTTGATTCAAAGGTGCTACTGAATGGTTCACAGTCGTCACGTTCAATTGAAACGGTAAATCTACACCTATTAGTTGATTGGATGGACGAATTTCTTTAATACTTGTGTTATGTGCTTCACCCTCTGCAACCGGAATCAGAGCGATACGAGCACCCGAGCGATTTGGAAGTCTATTCCAGTTCGCCCATCCGTTTTGGGCGAAGTCTGAAATCAGATAGATTTCTTTGTTCAGTTGTTCTGACTCAGTGAGAATTTCGTGGGCGAGTTCAAGGCTGGGTTGAACATTCGTGGTGCGGTAGGAAGTTTCTGTATCGTTAATTGCTGCGGTAACGCTCTCAATGTCGGGTGTGAGTTGCCGAAAGACAGGTTTCGGGATGTCTGACATTAATATAAGGGCGGCTCTATCGCCGTGCCGCAAGGTATCAATGATGTCGGTTGCCAGAGTTTTCGCTTTATCGAGCCTTATGCCATTGATGTCTTGATACGCCATGCTGTAAGAGTTGTCTAAGACGATAATCACATCTGTCTTCGCCCGTACGGACGCGACTGGCAGTCCGAGTGTCAAAAAGGGACGTGCCAAGGCGAGTGCAATCAGTGCTATAATTGCCATGCGTAGGAGCAAAATGAGAAGTTGCCGGAGTTGGAATCGACGTGCATTTTCGCGGTGTGCCGCCGTAATGAATATTAGACTGCTAAAATCAATTGTCACTACACGGCGACGGTTCCAGAGGTGAATGACTAATGGGATACCAGTGGCGAGGAGTCCAAAGAGAAAAAGTGGGTTGAGAAATGCCATTTTTTAATTATACCTTGCGGAGAAGTGACGTGGGTTAGAAACCTTTACGTGTCTCTCTTACGAGTCGCCTGCGCCGTTGTTGCAGGCTTAGTTTTCTGTTTTTTCTCTTAAATCAAAGCATAAGTCCGTAATGGAATGGAGGACGACTCGAACACAAGAACTTCCAAAGTTCATAAACCCTTACTTATCCGCAAAGTAAATTAGAAAATGGTAATTTCAAGTTGATTGAGCGTATGGAAAACACCTTCTGCGTATTCCATAAGATTGTCCGTCTCCAGGGTGCTTCCACCGAGTTGAATGTGGTTCGCATCAGCAATAATCTGGTCCAACGTTGGGTCCATTTGTACCCATTTACCGACATAGACTTCGGGCCAAAAATGGTAATAGAAGGCATCCTTTTGCGAATACAATACCAGAGCAGATTCGTGCTGGGATGCCAGCGGCACGCGCCAGAGCGATAAATAACACTGTGTGTTCCGTGCAATCTCCGGAGCGCGACTGTAGTGCTGTTAATGACGAAGCAAAGCCTCCGCTCATCTTTTTGTCGTTAATGGCGGCATAAACCCACCGACATAATTTTTCCGCCGCGCGCCATGAATTGACTTCGTTTTCCAAGATCTCTTCAGTCTTTGCCCGAATGTCAGGGTGATCCGCTTGAATATAGGCACTTGCGGTAAGGAATTCACCTTCTGCATTCTGAATAGGGAGGTTAGGGCAGTCTTCGGCGACAATTAATGGAACCTGAATAGAAAGTTTACCAGCGTATGCGGCGTTCGCCTCGAGTTTCTGTCGAGGGGTAGACATAACAACTTCGGCGATGTTCCCTGTTGAGAGTTTCACTTCTGCCTCGAGATGTTTTGCTTTTGGGATCGGGAGTTTGCCAGAGGGAAGGATACGAGTTTTTAAGACAACGTCAACTTCTTCGATACCGCCAAGGGCAGTTTCCTTGTCGGTTTTCGTAGTTACCATGGAAAGCCCCATCAACGGCACCTCTGTTCGATAGTTTACGCCGTCGGGGTCAAGCCACAGTTTTGCGGTAATGCCATTCATCATGTCCATTGTCTGTTTCAGAACGTAGACCTGCTTTTCCTCCGACTGATAGGTTAAAGTCTCTTCCCCTAAAATCTCGATTTCCGTTTTCACAGGCTTCAAAAGATCGAGGATGAACATGTGAAAGGTTCTTTTATCGCCTGTTTTAAGCCCTTTCTGGGTTAACAGTGATGCTACGCCTGTATGTTCAGAAACGGTATCTGCTGGCACGGGAATTTCTGACTCGGTGATTTCACCGTTGAGCGTTGTTTTAACGTGGGCAATTCCATCTACGATCCGTCCTTCGATCTGTTTTAAACCAGATTCATTAGAGGTCGAGAGGAAATGAAGCGGCATTAAGTCGGGACCTGTGTATTCAACGCGAGTAATTTCAACTGTTATGTCAGTCCCAAGTGCCTTAAAGTTCATAACGGTGTCGGTTTTGTTCCGAGCCACCTGTTCCCCTTGATACTCAGTTTCTTCTGTGGACGTGTGCATATAACCGATCTTGGTGTTCATTAAGGTAAGGTTATACCAATGCTCTTGCGGATGGTTTAGCATATTCTCGAATGTGTGTTGTTCTTCGTCTGCAGCGTTTGCTGGTGTAGTTGCGTACAAGCCAATATTAAAAAATATCGCTGCCATGCATGCAAACGCAAAGCGGTGTAGATGATAAAACTTCAAATTTTTAATTATTCCTTGCGGGTAAGTGAAGGGATATGTTACTAAAAAGTTTTCGATCAAGAGTCGCCTTCCAAATGTAAAGCAAAGACAAATTATGCCATTTAAGGAAACCTAATTTCATTATAGGCTTGGTTTTTGATACTACGAATTCATGTTTTTACGCGCGAAGTCAACAGCTACAAAATCCTATATGTAATATTAATTATACCTGATGGGTGTGCCTATGTCAAGTCTACGGCGAAAGCAGTCATTTTAGGCACTTCACAACTTTTATTGAACGGTTCTGGAAAACCGGAATAGCCTTTCGATTACCTCACACGCGAGTTGCCATAGCAACCGTATGGGTGTGGCGCTGTTTGATCTTCTGATAGTTTCCAAATATAGTCAGAAAATTGCGCTTGATGAACTCTCTAAGCCCCGAAATGGTAACAACGTAAAGTCGCCCATTCGGTTTGAGATACCGCTTCGCGTCAGTCAGAAAAATCTGTAGGAGTTCCTTACCGACGTTGGCGGGTAGGTTAGAGGCAATTAGATCGAATTGAATATCGGGGAGATGGCTAAAACCGTTGCTTAGAAGGACATGACAATTCTGGAGTTGATTCTGTTTCACGTTTTTACGCGCGTAATCGACTGCTACGAAATCCTTGTCCACCATATAGACGGTTGCCGTTTGTGTGCATTTGGCGAGAGTGATACCGACGGCACCGTATCCACATCCGAGGTCGAGACAGATGTTGCCTTCTTGGATATCCAGATGCTCAAT